TCCTTTCCTGTCACACTGTGGTAAAAGGTGGGTTAGGAAGTATGATTTCAATGGGCGCGGTGGCTCACGCCTGTAATCTCAGCACTTTGGGAAGCTGAGGCAGGTGGATCACTTGAGGTCAGGAGTTCGAGACCAGCCTGGCCAACGTGGTGAAACCCCATTTCTCCTAAAAATACAAAAATTAGCCAGGCGTGGTGGCATGCGCCTGTAATTCCAGCTATTTGGGAGGCTGAGGCAAGAAAATAACTAGAACCCGGGAGACAGAGTTTGCAGTAAGCTGAGATCGCACCACTGCACTCCAGCCTGGGTGATAGAGGGAGACTCTGTCTCAAAAAAAAAAAAAAAAAAAAAAAAAAAAGAGAGAGAGAGAGAAAAGAGGAAAGAAAAAAGAACAATGAATTTGATGGGTATAGTCTTTGGGTTGCTGGGCCCTGAAGGGCACATGGGATTTGGGACTAAGAGATATTCCCAGCTGGGTGGGGTCTCAGATCTCATAGCTGTGTGAAACACCTGGGTCTTAAGAAAGGCCTTTCAGTACACCACAGTCACGTTGCCCGCCACTCCCTTCCCCTACCCTCTGATTTATGAACTTTGGCCTCGCTTGTTACCTTCCTGATATGGGAAAGCATCTTTTGTCCATTTCCTGCATGGTTGGACCCAAGGTCTGTGAGACAAAAGACAAGGTCCAGCCCAGGACGTGGAATGGCCACAGAAGATGATGGTGACAGCTTGGGGCTGAGGGAAACTATGGGAACAGAGCACCCACGGCATGGGCCGGGCTCAGTCCCCAGGCAGGGTGACTGTGTGGCTGGGATGTGGGAGGTCAGGAGCTAGTTGGCTGGGGAGGCACAAGCCCCTGTGGGCAGGGAGAACGCAGGCAGCCCTGTGGTTGGTTTATGGGGCCCTGGGGAGCTGTGGAACAAGTGAGGGCGTGGTCAGGCTGCATTTGGGGAAGACAAGTGGAGGGGGGAGACAGAAGCTGGGACAGGGCAGGCGGCTGTTGGTGTCGGTGGAGAACTGGGCAGACACCCCAGGTCAGTTGTGACCAAGAGTCTTTTCGGAAGTGAGACCCAGGATGTGGGTGTGAGTGAAGAGGGCTGAGCCAGAGGAAGTAACTCTCCTGTTTTCTGAAGGAGCTGCCTGATTGCCTTTCTACCCGGTGTCTTCCTACACCTTTCCTGTTTCCACCTGCGCCTTTCCCATTCGGAAAAGAGCATAGGCCCAAATGCCACCCACAGCAGACGGTCCCGAGGGGCCTTGAGAGACACCAACTGCAGCTTCTGCTGTCCTGGGGCTCCCCCACCCCCAGAAGCTCCCCCGCCTCACAGAGGCCTCAGCTGAGCACAGAATATTCTGGAACATTTTCTCTGTACACTCTAGGGGAGTGGGCACAGAGCTGGAATTATTACGGTTCATCCCAAAAGTGGACGCATAGTTTGTGTTCTAATCTGTAATACGTTTTTATTTAAGATTAATACAATGCTTTACATTTTTACGACCTGGAGAAAATTTCATGCTGCAGCATCTCATTTAAACCACACTACAGCACCTTCAACCGGGTTCTGTTATTATTGTTCCTACCACTAAAACTTCCATTTGACATTGATGGAGATTTTGGGAGACTCAGAAAAGTGAGGGCCCATCAGCACTCACAACAGAACTGAACCTTAGGGTTTTGGCCAGGTGGGGATCCTGAGGAGCCAGTTGCTGAGGATCAGGACCTGGGAGGCACCCACTGCACAGTTATTTTATTCATGTGATTCTACCTTCTCAGCAGTGCCGTCCACAGGCACCGTGGCTGTCCTCACACTCTCAAGGAGGAACTGGAGACTTGAAGGTGCAGGGATCCTCCAGGGAGGCCTGCCTGGGAGATGGACAGGATGCAGCTGCCTCCACCGGCTGCTTCTCCAGCATCCACCACTGTCTCCTGGATGTGGGCCTAGCCTTGGAGAACCAGCTCGATCCCTTGCCCCCTGTGTCCCCTCTGTGGTCATTTGTTAATTGTGCTTTCCTTTCCCAAAGTCAACAGAACAATGCACAAAGCCCCTTTCATTCTGGAGAGCCTATTTATTTGTTTAGATAGAGCTTCAGAGAGTTGGCAGTCCTCGCTCAGCTACCCGCTGCCCATCCCAGGCAGGAAATGGAAACCCCCACACAATCGGCCTGTTGTGTAAAGCACAGCGATGACCATCAGGAGGTGGCTCAGCCTCCTGGGATAGGGGTGTCTGCTCGCTGTGCAGCATCTCCAAATGCTGCCTAGTTACTAGAATCAGTGTGCTGTTCCCCTCTGAGGGTTTCCTTAACAGCCTATGTGCTGACACATGGTTCTCAGCCTTTTTCTGCCTCCATGCTACTCACAGTAAAGCCTCTGGTCAATGTCAGTGTCGCCTCTCTGATGGTCAGTGATGCTCCTTTTGTCCATGGAGGCAGCACCCAAGGAAGGGCTGGGAAAGTTCTTACCTCCCAGAGTTCTGGTTCATAGGGAGTCATGGAGAAGGTCCCAGAATAGAAATATCCTACACCCCCACATACCAGCCACATAGCGCCCCCTGCCTGGGGACTGAGCCCAGCCCACACCCTCGGTGCTCTTCTTCCTAGGTTTAAATTCAGAGCCCTGTTGCCTGAGTTGACCCTGCTCTCACTTTGAATGCACTGGCAGATTTCCATGGGCTTCCAGTACCTCCTCTGTGCCCACTGGGACCTGGTTCTGGGGACGACAGCAGGAGTGAAGAGGGGGTGACAAACTGTCCCTAAAGAGCCAATTGATGTTGAGTGCATGGGGAAGGGAACAGCATGATCTGTGGGTACACACAGGCCATGGGGGGCTAACAGGGAAGGATATGGCTGGGCTCCTTGGGGGCTCATGAGGCACATGGAGAACCGTGCTCAAAGGCTGAGACACCAGTGGGGAAACGGGTGCGTTTAACACACTGACAGCTTTTAAAATGTGCCCTGAGGCAGGTGCCTGAGCTAATCTGCAGTCAAAAGAGATGTGTGATATTGATCCCTCCATGGGTAGATGAGGCAACACCACAGACTGAATGCTCACCCAGCATCAGTATCACGTATCCTGATTTTCAAAGTCATCATTCGAATGGGGTTGTATCTACTTTTTAAAGATGAGGAGATTCTCCAGGCGTGGTGGCTCACGCCTGTAATCCCAGCACTTTGGGAGACCGAGGTGGGCGGATCACGAGGTCAGGAGATCGAGACTATCCTGGCAAACACGGTGAAACCCCGTTTCTACTAAAAATACAAAAAAATTAGCTGGGCGTGGTGGCAGGTGCCTGTAGTCCCAGCTTCTCGGGAGGCTGAGGCAGGAGAATGGTGTGAACCCGGGAGATGGCGGAGCTTGCAGTGAGCTGAGATCACGTCACTGTACTCCAGCCTGGGCGACAGAGCGAGACTCCATCTCAAAATAAAGAAAGAAAGAAAGAAAGAAAGAAAGAAAGAAAGAAAGAAAAAAATAAAAAAAATAGAGGAGAGTCAGTAATGATTTTGCAGACACACTAGAGCTAGTGGATGGCAGGAGCCCCTGTCTGCTTGAGGGTGTCTGTCGTAGTCCTTAGTCCATTGAGTGTTGTTATAACAGAATGCCTGACACTAAATAATTTATAAAGAAAAGAGAGTTTTTTTTTGTTGTTGTTGTTGGGGAATTGCTTTCTGGCAAAACCTGAAAAGCCTGCTAGACAAATTCTAAAAGAGCTCTAACACTTAAGAAAAGAGGTTGATTTGGCTCATGGTTCTGGAGGCTGGGAAGTCCAGGAAGCATGGTGCTGGCTTCTCGTGAGGGCCTTGTGCTGCACCCTAACATGGCACAGAAGCAGCAGGGGAAGCAGGCATATGCAAAAGGCTAGTCATGAGAGGCCGCCTCAATCTGCTGCAACCTGCTCTTGCGAGGGTGAGTCCATTCCCATGAGAAGTGACCCAGTCTTGTGAGAATGGCATTAACTCATTCATGAGGGTGAGTTCTCAAGACCCAAACACGTCCTGTTAGGCTCTACCTCCTAACACATGAACTTCTGGGGGACACACTCAAAATGTAGCAGTGTCCTTGTCCTCAGGCACCCCTCAGGTGGGGTGAAGGCTGGGCACAACAAAATTGGTGTGAAGACTCATCCCAAATGAATGGGGCACCCTCTTCCCTGTAGGAGCATCCACACAGCAGCTCCAAGCACTCAGTGTCCAGGGCCAGCAAGCTGCACGTGTGGCACCACTGGGCTCCCGAGAGGGCTGGGGGCTGTGAATGATGTTTGCACTTCCCTTCAAGGCACCGAGGCAGCGAGACTCTGAGGATGATGCCCAGAGGGAGAGTTTGGATGAGGTCCAAGAGGAAAGAAAGCTGAAGCCTTTTTGGGCAGGTGAGGGAGATGGCAGGGGCTTGTGATTTTAGAGACTGTGTGAAGTGAGATTGGACACTCAGCTAGGTCAGCCCAGAGGCTGGGTCCTGAGGTTGGCCTCAGGGCAGCTCCGGGAGACCCCACCTTCCCCTTCTGCAGGATGCTTTCCTCTCCTCGAGGCCCATCAGTGTGGAGTGGAGCATCCACCATGGCCCCTCGGCACTGAGGGCACTGGGAATGCCCAGCAGGGCAGTGCCCAGCCTCAGCATGCAGGCTCGATGGTCCCAGGAGGATACTCCAGCACCTCCCCTGCCATCCTCACCAGGGCGGGGAGGTGGAGATGAGCACTGGTGCTGTCCATGCAGTGCCCTGGGTTCCACATTTGGATTTCCCAGCCAGCAGGATGGGGTTTCAGGAGTGCCCTTAGAGAACCAGCTAATTCAATGTTATTAATCATATGAGAACCAAAGGTCCTGGGTGGGGAAGTGAAAAGCTGCATGCTACAGACATATGGAGGCGGTAGGGGCTTCTCCAGCCACCTGGGAAAGGGCTCTGGATGTGAGTTCCTGCTCTGCCAACCTAGGGAGGGCTCTGTCCACTTTCCCGACACTCCCAGGGCCTGAGGAATCCTTGGTGCCTCCTCTAGGTGTAACCCATGTCCCTGTATGCGTCCCAGGGGTCATCCTCAAATACTGCCGTGGTCTTGGTGCCCAGAGTCTTCTTAGCAGGTGGGACTCTCCTGTCTTCACCAGTCTGTTGGGATCAGCTCAGCCAGCCTGGTTAAAGGGTAAGTGGCTCTGAACTTTACTGTAGAACTTACTTTGTTTTCCTCATAACTTTCTCTTTCCATGTCTGCAGCTGCCGTTGTGTGGGGCTCCTCGAGGATGGGGACCCTGTTCTCTCAGCTCCGCCCCCCAGCATGAGTCATGGTCTCTCTAAAGACCCCATGGCCTTGAAGCAAACATCACCAGCTACACCCAGCAAGGCTGGTGTTGTCTCTGGATTCTCCTTATAACGCTGTGGGAATACAGGAAGATAAAGCTCAAAGTGGAGGGAAATTTTTGGTAGCTTTGGGTGTTGGAAGTGGTGCAGCTTCCCAGGATCCCAGCCCCTCAGCAAAGCCGCCCTCAGGTACCGTGTGTGGGCTCTAGCAAGTCTGTTGATTCCTCATGTGGTAACACCCTCCTCGGATGTTACTCTTTGCAGTTTACATAATACTAGACACACATTATTTTCCTTTATCTTCATACAACCCTACGTTTTCAGCATTCTGGGGATTACCACAAGCCCCACTATCTGGTGCCCAGAAAGACACGGGACACCCTTGGAGAGGAGCACTTGGCCTCTTTGCTGTCCTTGGACTTGGTGCAGGATGGTGGGTGCTGGGTGTGGTGGATGGGGCTGGGCAGCAAGGATGGTGCCATTTACTCTTCTCCATTTACCTCCAAAGTTCTTCATGGTCTATGACTCCAAGGTTTGAAATGATCTCATTTACCCCACATGATAGGTGTGGCCCTTCCAGATGAGGAGTTCAACAAGACTACATGGTAGAGCAGCCAGATAATCCACTAGAAAGAAGACTCAAAATAAGAAGTAACCACAAAATAAGGTGATTTATAAAGATGCATTGCTTCACTAGAGAGGCAGCATTTTACTGAGTAAAGAGCACTGGGTTTTTAATCTCAGAGTCAACTATAGTTAGGGTTCTGCTGTTTGTCTAAAGATCTTGGTCAAGAGTGTCTCCTTTCTTCCCTTGTAAAGGGGTGAATGGGAATCCGCACCCTAGAATCTCTATGACATTATAAAGCTGGAAGTAAATAAGGGACATAGATAACCTTTCAAAATCAGCAAGGGTTGTCCCAATAGGGTGTTGGCCGATTTGTCTACAAGATTTATTTCATGAAAGAATATCTCAGTTGGGCTGAATCTGGATCATTCTTTTGACCTGTACTGAGGAAAAGGCAGGAATTTGAGTGCATTTAGGGTGAGCTGGCATTTTTCAGTTCTCGCCTCTCCACGCAATGATGCTGTCTGCCAGCTCCAAAGGCACCATGTTTGCCATCCCTGACCAGAGCCTCATCAGAGCCTGCTGCAGCCGGGGGCTGGGCTTGTCTAGGAGCCGGGAGCCACTGGTCCCAAGTGGGTATTACAGGGTTAACTTGTGTCTGTGGCCAAGGCATAGAATCAAAGTAGGATGAGTCACCTCTTGTGCATTTCTTATTTCAGCCCTCCTGCCACTTTAGCAGTTTCTGATGTTTAATTTCCTCGTTTCATTCCAGAGACAGAGAATGCTGATTCACTATGCAGTGAAACATGCCTAACGTGTCAACAGCTAATGCCCGGTGACAGAGTGGTTGTCTGGGCAACAGAAGAAGTCACCCACGCAAACACTTAAAGGTGAGCTGTGAGAGTTAAGCAAGCGAGAGCTTTTCACTGAGTGAACTCACGTCCACACGGGGTGCGTGTTCAGACTCACGCGGCAGCTCCAGTGACAGGGAAGGTCGGAGAAATTCCAGGCTCTGAGGAGTCCCAGACAGCATTCCAGCTCATTCCTAATTTTATATTCAGGTTCCTTAAAACAAAAACTTCAGTATGAGACATTCAAACCCTTTGCATGTTACAGTCTGCAAAGTTTGAAAAGCATTTCCTTCCTTAGTGTCTCGGAATTGCCCTAAATACTTTCTTTCAACCAGCAGGATAGGGGACACTAGGCTTTTGTGACGACTTAAGTCTTGGCAGCAGGAATGGGTCCCCAGAAGGTGCTAGTATTTCTAGAACAACCGATATCAGGGCAGGTGTCTTGTGCTTGGCCCCTTTGTGGGCCACTTGCCTGGAGTTATGGGACAGGGATAAGCGTGTTCCTGCCCCTGAGGAGGTCACGGTCAGTAGGGGAGGCCCCACAGACAAAACTCAACCTCTGGATTATGGCTGCGGCTCTGGATGGTCTGGAGGCCCAAGAAAATATTGGGCAAGAGTATGTCTTTTCTTCCTGTGTAAAGGGAGTAATGGGAATTCACACACTACAGTCACTGTGACAGGATGCATGGTTGGGGGTGTGCAGGGGACCTGAAGAGGCCACTGCATCCCAACTTCCTCTTCTGCTGATTATTTCGTTTAAATAACTTCTCATGGATATTGCTTATGAGCAGATGACTTGCAAGGTGGGATGGGGAATGGACGTGAAAATACATAAACCATCATCTCTGTTTGTGGAACTCGAGGTCAGGTGTGCAGAGGACTGAGCAGGTGAAACTGAGTCTCCAGGTTAGGGCATGAGCCGGGGGCTGAAAGGGGCTCTCCCTGTACTGGCAGGGAGGATTCTCTTCTTCCCTGCTCTGTGGTTGCATGTGGCCCGCCAACCCTTTCTCTGTCACACCATGATGCAGTCTTGGGTTGCCCACTCATCGATCTCTGGCATCTGTTGTCCTCCTCAAGGAAGGACACATATTGGGTCATCTTTGTCTCTGATCTTTGTCCTTGCTGTGTCTGACCATGCTGGTGGTCAGGAGGGAGCTAAGCTCACAGGTGTTTGGCAGGGCAAAGGCCTGGGCTGAGACTCTACAATCTTGGGCTTCAGTTTTCCCATCTGTAGGACAGGAGCAGGGCCAGCATCCGAGGTCTGTGGTGAGGACTGGTTGAAGGCCACACCGGGGTCCTGGATGTGGCCAGCTGACCAGGGCTGGGTGTCTCACTGGCTCACAACAGGGAAGAACAGAAATTCAGAGTAAATCACTGTAAACTTTACAGCAATTAGGCAGAGTAATTTCATATCTGTTGAACCTAACAAAAATTGGGATTTGTGTTTTGTCTTCATTTCATTTTTCTAGGACCTTATTTATTTTACAAGGGGAACAGTTTTCAGTGGAATAGATATTAAAACACACACCTGGATCCCTTTACCACAAGTTCTTTGATAGGCACCATTAAGGACAGTGAACTAATGCAGATAACTCAGGTAACAGGGCAGTGAGCTAATGCAGGTAACATAGGTGACAGAATCATGGGATAATACAGGTAACACAGGATAGTGAGTTAACTCAGGTAATATAGCTAAGCCAGGTAACCCAGCTTACACAGCCAACACCTGGCAGTGGGCTAACATAGTTAACTCAGGTGCTCAGCTCAGGCACATCCCCAAGGTCCCCCCATGAGGTGGTCTGGTGGCTGTCTACATGTACTCCTGGACGTCTGTATCCTGGTGCAAGGGAGCCTGGCAGGAGAAGGGACCCTCAGACCCTCCCTCAGCCACACAGGGCAGACATCCTCCACGTGGCTTCAGCCGTGCCTGTCAGTTGAGTGGTGGGCAAGGTCATGCTCGGGATAGTCTACCTGGTCCTCGGTGAGGCCCAGCCCCACTGAGAAGCATTTGGGGTCTATTTATTTGCTCAGCCTGTCTGCTGCTATTTGTCACATGCTAGTATTGGTGCGGCAGCTGCTTCTCTGAGTCCCAGAGCAGGAAAGTCCTGGAGACAAGGCCTTTGCCAATGGGGTACCCTGCAACCGGGAAGGGAAGGTTCCTGTGTGGTCCAGCCCTAGTGGCAGAAACTTGGGTCTGCTCTGTGTGTTGTGTCTACAAGTGTCTGTTTGGCTCCTCACTGACAACAGGAGTCTAAGAGATTCCTAACAACTGACTAAACAACATAGAGTCTGAGCAAACGTTACAGAAATGGGGGAAATTGCAGTGAAATTCTGGAAAAGGAAACATGCTCAATGGAGACAACATGGAACCTTACTTCTGAAGGAAGGGGTGGGGTGCTGTCTGGAAAGTTCTAGAAGACAAAGCACTAGCAAAAGGCAAGAACATATTGTGAATGACAAAGGAGAGGAATTCTGCATTTTTTTTTTTAATCCACTGGGACAATCCTGTACTGAAGAGAGCACGGGGCTCTGGGCAAACCCTTCTCTCCCCTGAATCTCATTATTTTCAGTCTGTAGTAGGGCAGTAGTGGGTAAAATGCCGCTAATGTCCCTTCCGGGACCAACGCTGGGAGTTTTCTTTGAAGGGACATGGTGGCTGCTCCTTTCCACCCTGATGGCTTCCTCATGCCTCTTCCTTCCTTGCCAACCCACATCATCTCCCTGGGACTTTGCTTGTAGTCAGCTCAGATGCTGCCTCCACGCCTGCATTCCGACCGTACTGTAAACACATAGGATTCTTGCCGGATAGGGTGGAGGGGGGTGGGTCTTACCCCTCCCGAGAGAAGCCTGTGAATTCTGACTCGGTGAGTTAAGGAGAAACACTCCTCAGGTGTGGAGAACACATACGCTGCTGTGTTGAAGGTCGTGCTGGGCAACACTTAAGTCTCCTCCAGGATCCCCAGGAGCAGCCGCTGGGGGATGACCTGCACGTGGTCCAGTAACCTGTGTTATGCTTGCAGGATGTTAGGGCCTTCAAGTTGATTTAGCTCAAAAATATTCAAACTTCCTTAGCAGCAAAAATATTCTTTCTCAAATGACATCTTATATGGAGTCTGAATATATAAAATTCCCATATTAAAGACGGCAGTTTGTAAATTGCTTTATAATTTCTCATTGATGATGCTTATTTATTCGTAATTAAGCCAGTCAACAAAAATGTAAAGGACCTTTTGATCAACCTGGATACTTTCAGTTGTTTCAATGTTTTCCGATCTTGATCTTCGTCATGTGGTTCCCAAAATTTCCAATTCACAAAGATAAGTAGCAATATAATAATCTTTATAATTTTCTTGAATAGATATGTCCAGTTTTAAATTTTGGGGAAATAAAAGACATTCCTAATCAAAGACATGCCGGAAAGAATTTGACTCAAACTCAAAATATCTGAGATGATGGATATGCTAATTACCCACATCTGACCACTGTATATTATATGTGTGGAAGCTTCACTCTGTAGCGCATACATATGTACAATAATTATATGCCAGTTAAAGAAATTTGAAATATACTTGTGTAGGAGTCATGAAAGAAGTACTTTTTAAAATTGAAGTAAAATTCACGTATCATAAAATTCACCATTTTAACCATTTTAAGGTGTACAATTCAGTGGCTTTTACATTCACAATGTTGTGCCACCATGGTCTCTATCTAACTGCAGAACATTTTTATCACCCCCAAAAGAAAACTGTCCCTATGCATATTTTCACTTAAGTTTTGAAGCAGTTACAATAGATTAAAATGAAGTGGAGGCAAACCAGAAAAACCAAGATGGTTTTAGGTCATGATAAATGCCGTGAAGGGAAAGTGATAGTGAGTGAGAAGGAAGAAAGATGCTTGACTTAAGACCCAGATAATGGGAAGGTGTCAGCAATGGAAGGGGCAAAGGAAGGGCCTGAAGGAGGGAAAGAGAGGGTGTGCAGAAGCCCTGAGGCACGACTGAATTCAGCAGGTTTAAGTATAGAAATGAGGCCTGTGCGCTTGGAAGGGAATGTGCCCAGGAAGGATGGGAGGAGCCAGGGTGGGCTGCTGGGGTCTGGGCTGCACTTTAGAATCCACTGAGCAATGTGGGAGCTCCCGGCTCGGGACCCAGCCATGGTTGCTGGCAAGCTCTGCAGGTGATCCTAGTGAGAAGCCAGGACACAAATATCTGACAGATTTGAGAAACAGATACGCAAAATTGGTCTGTGAGTGTCAACCACAAAACTCAGGAGTTGAGCTTGGTTTCTTCTCAGTCTATGCATCTAACACGTTTAAAATGTTTCTTTCTGACATTATGAATCTTGACTTCATGAAACTAAGAAGAAGTATAAAGAAAACAAAGCTATTCTGGGTGAAATGTAGTCATGCTGGGTCATTAGCAGTTACAGAAAAATAAACCCCATTGTCTCCTTGCGAACTATTTTCCAACACGTTAAAGATTTGATGACATTTATTTTATTGAAAATAATTAGTGCCCGCTGGCCTGGCAGGCAGCTGAGAGGAAGGCACTGTCCCCAGAGCCCTCTGCTGCAGCCTCTACCCAGGTCCAGGGGCTGTTGTTCCTGCGTCTGCTCTTACCCCCGCAGGCACTTTTGTAGCGGGTGTTAGTGGTTCTTGGCTGATCAACAAAGATAAGTTTAATTTTACCCTTAGATGGGAACACGGAGATTCAGTCTTATCTGATGCCTGCCAACTTCAGGCTCTTGGGTCTAAATTATGGGAACTTGGATTTCCTTGGCTGTCCACCATCAGAAATCAGTAGATTTCTGCAAAGGAAACCAAACAAGACTCCAGCTGTCCAGGTACTATCTGCCAGAAATGGATTGATGCTGCTTCTGTTTACAAAAATACTGGCTGTGGAGCGTGTGTCTGTCCCACAAATCCAAGGCTTTCTAGTCTGGCCCTGGGGATCCAATGTAGGGAGGGAGTTCAGCTGTGAGGCACAGGGCAAGCCTGTGCTGTGCCTGGGGGAGATGGTCAGGGACCCGGCAGCCACTCATGGAAACTGCATGGCACATCCTCAGGAGAAATCTAGGCCACACACAGCCTGTGGGGCTGTAAGTGGACAATGTGCTGCTTTGAGTCTCAGTGTCCTTCTCTGAAAAAGGGCCTGATGATAGAGCTTGCTTCTTAATTTCAGCTGTGTTTGTCCTATGCTCTGCCACATTCACTGGGCAGTTTGGTTAGAAGCAACCCTGGCCCCGACCTGATCCCCCTCACTGTGGGGCCCTGGCCAGTTCTCTATTGGGATGGGAGCCCCCAGCCGGGCTGACCCACAGCTGCCCTCATGGGATTGGTTGTGTGATGCAGCACTTTGGCCGCCATCCCCTGACCACG